AATGCATAGAACATTCTCACGGAGCGAGAGAGAGAGGCATTTGCACATGAAGAGTTGAAAATGAGTCGCATTCAGCCAAGCTGTGAGCTCCACCTAGGAGGCAGTGAAAGAGACCGAGACAGGCACAGAGAGGGGCTGAGGCAGGCAGGCGCCAAGCCTTGAAGAGGGGCATTCTGGCATAATGACTCTCATTTACCATTGACAGGCCTTGGGAAAGTTAAACTAATTATGACAGCACACAGATGCTGAATAGCCCTTGATGAAGTTAATCACTGGCAATCCAACAAACAGGTGTTGAATAATTCCAGTTACCAACCCTGGAACTGTAGGATGTTGAGATTTTTCAAGCACATCGCTCAAAGGCAGCAATCGAATCGAAAGTATTGCCGTCTTATTCCCACCATCCGAGCTCATTTCATGACCCTTTGTGAACACAAACAACACCTCCAGTGCTGGAAAACACAAAGCTAGTGTCGTAAACGTCAAATTAACTTGATGCCATTGTGGTGCTAGGTGTCAAAACAAAAGCGGGTCCGCAGAAATGTTCACCCTCTAAATGACTATGGTGCAGTTTAATATGCACCTCTTCCAACAATAACCTTCAATCAAGTCCAATACAGCATCACAGTAGAGTTTTAGTCTAAAGAAGAAGAAGAAATCTCCACGTGAACTGGATGCAACATTGCTGTTTTATACAAGCTAACTTGTTTTAATGATGAATAACATTTATATATTAAAAACTAATACTTACAGAATTGACAATACACATTCCTTAAACAAACAGTGGCATGCCAAGGAGAGCTCTGTCAACCAAGTTGCGATCGTAACTCATTTTAATGAGCTGTAGGATACATAAAACATCCCTTTCTCCAACTCCCCGATGGCTACAGATCATTGTTAACAGGCGGAGATAATGTGTAAGCATAAAGATAATAGGCTCAGCTGAATGTCATTACTTTGCGGAAAACTTCAAGTGCCGCACCGAGGCCAGCAAAAACTCTCCACACTGAATGGATGCGTGATTAGCCATTAATTATGTGTCCGTTTTTATCAGACATTTCCATTTGAATAATTTTACAAAATGAAATTATTTTTGAGCCGCTTTATAACAAATGAATTGTAAACGAGCATATTAACCACTGTGAGAGATTTTTAACTAAACGTAGATTCAGTGGTGAGGAATGTTTCTGCACAGTATCTGGGAAGACAGATACATGGCATGTTCCTTTGAATATTTTTTGATATGATTTCTAACGGTGCTGTTAAAGTAATAGCAGTTTCAGCTGATTACATGCTTTTGTATCAGAGTGAAAATTTGATTGATACCTTTTATGACAACTTAAAGCTGTTGCCTTCAGGTTGTCTATTCCAGCAAATGTCCTTAACAAGTTCTGTTTTTGTCGCTCGGAGAATGGCATGGATATAATTAAAGGCCTGTAGCGCTCTCACGTTAAGTATTACTTGTTGCAATTTGGTAATTGCAGCGGAATACTGTTGCTGGGTGCTGTGCATGGGCAGCTCTGTTTTTCACACGACACATAGCTCACCGTTTTATTTAATTTATTAATATTCATGAATAGATATTTCTCTTTATTTTATTCATGATGGGAGACAGATTCTACCCCAGTATACAGATGGAACACATAACTAAATTTCAGAGTGACAAACCACTTGACTGAAATTTAAGGAAATCATGCAAACTGCATACAGAACTATGGCGTCACTATTCCATTTCCACAAAACATCAATAAAGGCTGGAGGACGGACTAAGAGAAAATGCCTCATGAAAAGTATGGTGCAGACTTATGGGGCCGTCCATTTAATTATCTTGTTGTTTTTGCTGGTAAAGGTGTACATAAATAACTGAGAGGCTCTGGTCAGAATACTAATGATCCTCTTTGAAACTGTTTTTATATCTTTCCGTCTCCCTGAATGACCTCTTATTAATGGGGAAAACAAATTAAAGGGATAGAAGCCTTGACCAATTAATTTGAAAAGCAACATTATTTGTTACAACATGAACTCTGTGCCTACAGACCTGTTAATCATTTTCTTTTAATTAATGAGTGGGTAATTATTTTCTGCATGCTTGAATTTTCCTTTGTCATTTAAATGTTTTGCTTTCTATTTGATGCTTACCAAATGAAAGACATAACCGCTGCTCAAAATGTTGTTGAAGAACAGGACACGCTTTGCAAGAAATGTTTTTATATAGTATATATATATATATAATATGTAAAATGTCTTCAATCCATCTGTTTTCACATTTATTACTGAATAACAGCCAATACAATCTAGTATCTAGCAAAACAAGAAAGAAAGATATGACAGTTTGCGTGTGTGCAGGGTGATGTTTTTAAACAACAAAGGAAACCTGAATTTTCTTTGCAAATAGAAAGCATCAGGAGCAATGAACTTGGATGGAAAATAGAAATAACCCAGCAGTTGAGAAATAATCAGTCGCTTCGAATTTTGATGACCCGGACAATAAATATTGAGCTGCATTTATTACTGAAAATAACATGTTCTCTACACAATACTGTAAAGGTGCACACTACAGATGGGAAACTAATGTCACAGACCCCAAAATGCTGCATGCTCTCATGACAGCGAAATGGATGGGCGTTTGTATTCCCTGCTCAGTAACAGACTGAAGCGTGTCAACAACAGGCATGTGCCACAAATGAGAGAATCAGACTCAAAACTTCTGACGATGTCAACATCAAAACCACAAGAATCAAAAATTCAGATGGCCAGCCTTTGAGAATTTACTAAAGCGTGAGCATTTGCTGCCTAAGCAATGGCAAAGAATTCACTAATGGAAGCTGTTCAATTTTATTTTGCTCTCAAAAAAAATAGTGCACTGTGCATTTTTCCCCTCCCTAGACTTTTGAGCGGTGAGCAAGCAGTGCAGGTGTGTTCTTGGTATGTGTGCATTTACACAAAAAAATGCATTCATCTTCTACTTATAAGCACTCCTGTAGAGTGTGCGTTTACTCAAAGAAGTTCATCAAATGTTTATAAGATATCAAAAGTCTTCTGGGGGTGTTGTGCTGTACCATGAACAACTAGATTTCCAATTTGCTTGTGCAACGTTCTGAAATTCTTTGTTGAAGCGACGCAGCACCTTTCCTCCTCTAGATATCCATCAGCAGATGTTTTGTTGATAGAGTAAAATGTTGTTTCAGGCGCTGGTCCAGGATTGGTTTTGCTTGGGCTGATATGCAATGACTGAAACAGCCCAGGCAATGTGAATTCATTTTCACAATTATTGCATTGTTTAGTAATAACTTGTCCGTAGATGTGTTCATTTTCAACATGAAACAGACGGCTTTCATAAAACATGATTCACTAAAAGACATTTTAGAAAAGCCTTCGGTCATTTACTCAACCTAAAGGACTGTGTTGCAGTATTCTGAGATACTTGTATTTGCTGATGATGTGATGTGCATTTTCTGACCTGTGCATAGAAAAGGTGTTATTTTTACTATATATTCAACCTGTAATCCCGCTCAGATAAATAAGTACAGATGTAAATATTTTTCTGCACATCGTATTCTTTACTACTATCCTGCTGGACAAACTGTATCTGCACGCATTACCTTGCAGGTGGCTCATGTCTATGTCAAACTACATGAGAAAGAGCTAGGTGATATAGATCACCACACAAGGGGGGGGAGGATGGTAAAACTGTGCAGACAAGATGATACGCAGGTAGACCAATAGCTTGCATAGTTAGAATGATAAAGAGAGGGCAGAGGCACAATAGAGAAATAATTAGGACAAGGCCACTGTGCATGAATGCGTCGCCGCTTCCCACAACCACTCAACTGTGTCAAACAGCTTGGTCAATAATCTTCAGCAATTCCTGAGGATTAGAGTCTTATTACCGAGCACCGTCTGTCACACAGACCTCGATGCCCAATACAAGTCACTTCCTGACTGTTTACTCCAGGCTTCAACACATAAATAAACATCTCACTGCGAAAAATTCATCACATTAGATTAAATGTGGTTCAAAATAGTTTTTAGTGTGTGAACTTTTACTTGTGGCCAAACGTGTGTTTGTTTGCGTGTGCGTATGTTTGCGTGTGCGTGTGCGTCGTTATAGCACTCTAAAGAGGTTCTGTAAGTTGTTGACAGTAAACCATTATGTAACTGACTGTTAAACACATAGCCAGTGGCAAAATGTGAGGATCTATAACTTCTAATGAGCTACACTCTGTGTGCAGTAAGGAAATACTTGGAGGCTGATTTATTTATTTATATATATATATATATATAT